ACGTTCGCTCGCGCTCGCTCGCGCAGGGTCGTTCAGAAGGCGAACGCTAGCGAGCGCTAGCGAGCGTTCGCTCTCCTGAACACGCCTCTGGCGTACCTCCAGCCACTGCCAAATACAAACATAATACTAAACAACGTAAAACTACCTCGGCCCTCGGGTACATATCTGTACTCGAATTGGGCAGATAATTCTAACTACATCTTCAACACATAATTTGTATTAACAGACAACAGAAATCGAGAAAATAACAAATAACCTCGTCAGTGTCTCTCAGCGGTATTTCGATAGTCGCCATCTTTCTCGATGATAACGATCATGCCGTCGCTGGTCAGGTAGCAACTTCAGCATCCAACCGGAAAAGGTTTTAGTGATGACGTATTCCAATAGCAATCCAATAGAAATATACCATTGCGCGTCGTTTTCAAAAGAAGGAGAAAGACTCGACTTGTTGGACCGCAGTTGTAAGTCATTGTGTATATTTAATAAAACTACCAGGAGTCTATCCTGAAACTATATATAATGTATATACTGTACGTACAGAGGGTAAGCGTTATAATTTACATTTATAAAGCATAACGTGTACTGTGCGAACAACATTGTCACTGTGTCTCATAAATTTGTCATGACTCATCATCATCATCATCATCTCATGCCCCACGACGCGTCAGGAGATTATATTGGCATTCCTTCTCACTTAATAATGCCTATTCGTAGCACTCGATCATGATCTGAGTGTAATCATTGCTGTTTTGACATTATTTTTTCCGATTACATTGTTTCAGATGGAAAAGACACCATTGAGTAGGATTGGGTGAAAGAAATGATTAAGTCACCAGTTCATGTACATGTGGACGACGAAACAACTGTACATGTTCATGTTACTAACCCAATAAAAATGGGATATAGGTCCGGTTCAAGACTTTCTGTGGTAAGTAAACATGCTCTATATTAATATTGTGATTATTATTAATAATAATTATCAATTCTTCCATGCTGTATGGAAATCAGGGGGCGGTCCGTATACACTGCAATATATATCCACGCTCGATCCTCCAAGTAAAGAAATATTACTTTAGCCATGAAAATGCTTCCCAGGAATTACACAGACAACACAAATTTTAGGACTACACAGATAGTGTCAGTGGTATGTTTTCATTAATTACATACTTAAAATAGAGGCTTGGATGTTTCAGAAGGACTCGGATCACCAGTCCAAACGTGTTCGCTCCAGATCTTCTACGAGTGTTACGACCCTTCGTAGTCAGGGAGATCAAGCTCCTCAGCAGAGCAGACCAACAAAAGAAACTTCAGCTAGCCCCAGACCCCCTGCTCCATGGGTGCCTCCACCAGGAAAGACATCTCAGGGCATTAGTAAATATTCATGGAAGGTATAATAATTTAAAAGCCATATAGGTGCAAAATTCAAAGTGAGCAATGATTACATCATAATGTACATATCAAATCATAATATATTTCAATAACTAAAAATTCTTTCTTTTTATTTCAGTGTTTTTCCTTCTCTGTACTTCTGATCTGAAAATGGTGCATCTATCAATATATGCATCTAATTTTGTTTCAGAATTCTTCTCAAAAGCCGGAGCTGGTACAGCATGATGCAACCCCTTCGCACTCATCCATGCATCTCAGCGACCTGTCTGATGCTGCCGCAGATGATCTACGAATGGAGGTAGATGATCTTACCGATAAAAGTAAGCCCGATCGCAGAGGTAGGCTACAACAAAGAGCCAGGAGCTTCAATGACACACAACCTTACAGAACTCAGGTATGTGAAATTTTCGTTGCTATTCAGGAAGTTTTAAATCACTTTATCTGCTATCTTTTTATATAGTTTTTGTTCTGTTATAGTGCCAACTAAATTTTACTGATTTGTTAGACTGTTAACAGTCTTTACCATATGTGATATGACTGACTACTTATTAGTATGGATAACTCTCATTAATCATGCATATCTACATATATTGCAGGAGGGAAGAGTAAATGGTGGGGAGAATGTTAAAGATTCCCTCACAGCTTCCCAAACTGCGGTAAAGGAGTGCAAGAGTGCTGTGTTCACTATTCAGCGTGAGCTAACAGAAACACAGCGCCACCTAGAAGTGACAGAATCGGAAAATGAGCGCTTGAGGTTGTCCATCGGGAAACTACGTGAAGATGCTGAACTTATTAAGTAAGTAAGAGTCAGGGCGCAAAATTAACACGGGCCTTCCGGCATGTGCCGGCAAATTATTTGGAGGGCCAGTAACATTGGCAAAACGCCGGCCCTCCGAGCCGGTGGTTTCGGGCGTGTTAGCGAGTACCTACGTTTTTACTTATATCAATAATGAGCAAATAGCCTACATTACTGTTTTACCTGGTTCAAACACTTCGGACATCATTCACTATCTGCATTATAGTCTGTTCAACAGCTACTATGCGATGCCGCATGCTATAACATTTTTTGGACAAGCATTTTTTTTAATTATCATTCCAAGTCTTATTTTAGGCTCTTTCTGGTTCAAACCGCAAACAAAATTTGTGAGGGCTGGTAAATTATGGTGAGGGCCAGTAAAAACTGCTGTTAGTGGTACCAGCCCTCTGGGCCGGTGTAAAAAATATTCATTTCATGCCCTGAAGAGTATTGCAAACCATGTTGTGTATTGTTCTAGTAATGCCAATTATGAAAGACTACTCTATACTGATGCTCTTGTTTGATTAGAGTGACCAGTGAGCCAGGAGACATTAAGGAATCTCTGATGATGAAGCTGGAACTAGTCGAGAGGGATAGTCAGGATGTTGAAGTTGAGATTTCTAGACTGAAACATCTACTAAAGAAATTCATTCAGGTATGAAGAGGTTACCGACCATCTGTGTATATGGCATTCTACACAGGACAGTTTTATGTATTTAAATCTATCACTAAGTGCAAGTTACCTTTCTGCTGTTTGTCCATCTCTTTGATTGTTATATAATCTAGCAATATCAATAATTTTTTTTTACATATTTCAGTAACCTTAATTGCAACTGAATTGAAAATGAAATGAATTTTGAATGAACTGAACTGAACTGAATTGAAATTTGAACTAAATTTATTGAAATATGACATTTTGTATGAAAACCGTGTATTTGGTATATCTTGTTTATATATACATTGCTTTACATGTTTCACACCGTATCCATGAACAAGATGTAAATATTTTTAACAGGACAAGGAGCTTGGTTCCAACGATAACCTACAATTTCTCAGACAGAAAGATGCCCTGCTTCAGAAAATCACAGACTACAACACCACTAATCGTGTGCTGCGCCGTTTAGTGTCTGAATATGAACAAGACGTAAAAATGACAGAACACTTGCAAAAACAGCGGCAGTTTCTTTCTAAAAGAGTGACTGATTGTGAGACTGAGAAACAGGTAAGACTAGACAGAGGGCACTCACGGAGAGTGCATACCTTCGCCAGCATGTAACATGTGGCTGTCGCTGCTGGCTGCTGCTGACTGACTGGCCTGCTGCTGACTCGACGCGCTAATATCGATCGCACGAAAACACTAACACACTACACAAGACCGATCACATAACCTTCCCTCCAACTCCGTTGGGCGGAGGTAAATATATGATTGAACATATAAATGTATGGTTTGTGGTTTATAAGCATGGACAGTGTGTTGTAAGTGATTGGCAATACGTGACATATGTGTGGTAACAGCTAAATTGTGTTTCAGCAGTTAGTCAAAAATTCAAACTTTCCACTGCAAAATTCAAACTTCCAATTCAACACTTCCACTCCTATCTTTTCTTATGATTTCATTAATTTTGCTATGTATTAACTATTGTTGTATATTTACAGAGACTCTACGACCAGTTAGCAGAGAGGGACGCTCAGGTTGTGAAGCTCACTGCCCACATTGAGGGCTCCAAGGACGAACGTGAGCGGATGTATCGTCGCAACGATGACCTGGAAAAGATGCGGGCCCACCTGCAGAAACACTTGCGCAACAAGGAGGCAGACTTCGATCGACTAACCTGCACATTTAATGTAAGCAGCGGCAGTATCTCAGATTCTTGGTCACGTGCAATCACTCATCCTACACCCAGAGAAGGCAATGAATATATGAAGCAATATATGAACTGAAATACGAAGCATTTTTCTTGTCACAGTAACATGCAGATTCTGATTACGTGTTGGGTTTCATGTTTTATAGAATCTAGAGAAATCGTACATAGACCTCAAAGAGGAAAAGTTGCAGATAGCTAATACGATTGAAACGGCAAAGCTAAAGGCCATCAATGAGAAGGAAGCTCTAAAGAAGGCTACAAGGTGTGTATATAGCCATTGCCACATACGGGAACTGCTATAAACTGCTATAAAGTTATAAGAGCTGCTAATGAATAATTGCATACTGAAATTGTTATAGCATTACTGTTTAAACTGATTTACAGCTTGTGAATTAACAATAGCAATGGCAGTCAAGGTTTTTGCGTTCAGTTTAAGAATACTCATCATTATCCACTGCTCAGGCAAACCTATCTTGTTGGACACCTCTATAAAACGCGTGCTTATAAAGGTGGTATTTCGTTTTGATGGAGTGTGACTGTTTGTATAGAATATGCATCTATCTATGAAGGAAACCTTTGGCGTTTCCCTTTCAAGAGTGAACCTTATGTACGGGCTTGACTGTAACTGAACCATTATGCATAATTTATTAGCCTTTGTGGTGAGTGTGAGTAAGTGTGTGTGAGTAATTCATCAACGTATAAATAATTAATGACATAGTTTTCCACCATGCCTTTTTCCTAATTGCCCATCTGTCCGTTTTCTGTGCAGAAATCAGAGAGAGAAGGCCAATCGCAGTGAGTCAGAGTCAGGAAGGTTGAGTGAAGAACTTGCTAGGAAAGACAGAGAACTAGCCGATGCAGAAGCACGAACTGCAGAACTCAATGCAAGAACGGGCACTCTAGAAAGTGAAAAGGCTCAACTAACATTCGACCTTGCTGATCTCAAACAGTTAGTTTTCAGTTGGGTAGCGCTGAGATTGGAAATTACTCTGTGTTGCAGTGGCATTAATTATTAATTTGATGTGTCATGCATGTGCGCATGATAATTACGTATCCTAATTTTTCTGGCATGGTGTTAACGTGCATCTGCCACTAATTCTGCGGTCAGCCTCCCATTGTGCTTACGTAATCACTGTACACTTCTCCACTTTTTAGGAGGATATCCGAGCTGGAGACATCAAGCAATGGTCGTGAGTCACAATCACAGGCACAGGTGGAAGACCTAGCAGCTCAGCTAAACATCGCGAAGAGTGATGTAACCAAACTTGGGCTAGAGAATGAAAGGTTAAAGGTATGGAAATTCTACACTGATGGTTTCCTAAGTATATATTTTTAGTTTTTGAATGCAAAATACGTTGCTTGATAGTTGAAGGTGAATACACCAGTTCATGCTGACAATACTTTATTTATCCGTTTTATTTTAATGAATTGTATCGCTAAAGACTGAGTATTGTTGTACAGTTGTGTTATTAAAATATGTTGGTATGTAGCATATAAAGGGATATTTCTGCTTTGGTGATATTTTGAGTTAGAAGACTACCTATTTGTCACAATAAAGAAATATTATCCTTATAGATCAGCCTAGAAACACTTGAGGAAAAGAAAGTGACGTTAGAAAGAGATATATCTGACTTAAGAACTAACCTGGTGAAAAAGGAGAATCTGCTGGAAGACTACAAAGTTAAGGTATTGAATAATCACTTAAGTCTTAGGGAGTTATTTGCATGATAAAATTAACTAAGATTGTTACTGTTTTCATCTACACAAGATTGTATTTTTGGTAATACACTAATATTGTATAATTTTGACTCATTATATATGTAGATGATTTTAAGTGTGTCAGATCTAATTTATATGTCAGATTGTTTTATCGAGTACTCAGTATCTATTACATTTATTGTTTTGCCCATTATTGTGGACATGTATGTAGTCAAGTGTTACACATTTCTGTCAGTTAAAGGATAACTCAAGGAAACCAGAATTGACAGCTAATGAGCATACAGAACCGTTGGTAAGAGTGGTGGTTGCTGTGGAACAAGTGTGTCACTATCTCCTACTACTGCATGTTAAATGATGCACCATGTTGGAGATTTTTATAGTACTCGTACATAGATTGCACTTGTATGCAGTATCTGTAATGAGTGTACAAGATCTCTGCTGTATGCTGTCACCATCTGTTGTGTGTATATAGGTGCTAGTATGGTATTGTGTAGCATGTATAGGTGATCGTCTGGTGTTGGTTCTACCCTATTGAAGCTTGCATATTGTACTGGACCTATGTTACATCTGCATTTAGATTTTTCACTGCACATTATGCATGATACTTTTGAGTTTCTCTGCATGTAAGAATATTTAATTGTAATAAATGTTTATTGTCTCTTAATCCATATATCAGATCCCAATCAAGGAACAAATACAGTGAACATTTGGGAAATGGAGGTTTCCTGTCAGTTATGGAGGTTGTTCACCCCATCAAAACTAATCTAGATGTATGTTGTCACAGCTGACATCCACCAGGAGGGATGCAGATGATAAGACCCTGCAGCTAAGCTTCCAGAGTCAGGAAGCCGGTCGCATGCAGTTGCAGGGAGAGATAGAACTAGGAAGAGTGAGTATCTTAACACAGCTTTTGTATTAATCTCAATCAGCCAATATTGTATTATCTATACATGAGTGAATGATAATAGATTATTAGATCTATATCAGGAGTAGATAATAGGGAGGAGTGTGACATCAATAAACAAGGGAAATTCGTCATTTACTAGCCTTATAATACCTACGATTTACTACGCGTAACTCATCCAACTTGAGCTCAAATCGGACACAGTACATTCGCCCATCATCGTACGAAATCGTTTCCTCGTAGACACTCGCAATCCGTAGATACAGCCTAAAACGTACGACACGATTCTCCATTCTCTGGCCATTAATCCAACGCCCATTGCGCGCCTATAATTCAGACAAAAGGCAGCAACCTGGCGCACAGTCGCCGTGTTTGCTCTCTCGGATAGCTGAATGTGGCGTTGTGGCTCGCAGGGAGATTGGAGATCGACGCAACACTTGACGAGCTAATCATTTGGTTGGCGTGCGTGCGTGAAGGCATGCCAGCTATGTACAAAGGTGGCCTGTGTAGCTGTGTACCGGGTCAAAGGTTATCTCGCCGAGTGTTGATGCTTAATCTCCCAGCGAGCCACATGCCTCGCTCAGTTAGCAATAGCGCGTTAGGTAGCTGCCTTTTGTTTGAATTATAGGCGCGCAATGGGTTGGATTGATGGCCAGAGAATGGAGAATCGTGTCGTACGTTTTAGGCTGTATCTACGGATTGCGGGTGTCTACGAGGAAACGATTTCGTACGATGATGGGCGAATGTACTGTGTACGATTTGAGCTCAAGTTGGATGAGTTACGTGTAGTAAATCGTAGGTATTATAAGGCTAGTAAATGACGAATTTCCCTTGTTTATTGATGTCACACTCCTCCCTATTATCTACTCCTGATCTATATATATATATATCTTATATATATAGCAAACGTCTATTACCACAGACCTGGCTATGCATTGTCACCCGGGCAGCTGTAAACTTTCACTGTCAAAACATTGATGTGCCATGTACCAGTTTCTAAGATATGCTACATAACATTGCACCCTGATCTCGTAAAAAAAACATTATTTTTAAACATACATATGCATCAGACCATGCATCAATGTTCATGGTCGCTGCTACGGGATGGGATCAAGAGCATATTAAGCATACTTAATACATACTTATACTTAATACGCTCATGATGATAGTGGTATGTATGTATTGTAAATATCTCCCTGCCCAAAATCTTCAGGTGCACACTGAGGTGAGATCTCGACTTGAAGAACTAGAACCTCTGGCAGAGGCTTTGCGTGTTGCACAGGTGCAGCTACAGGAAAGCAAGAATACTAATGCAGACCTAAAGAAACATGAGCAAGAGCAGAATATGGTCATTAGGGACCTGCAACTGAAGGTATATCATGATATTCCTGGTAACTGCTTTACTTTGATTTTATAACAGTGCAGATAAAAGTAGTAATGGCTTTATAATTAATTATCAATCTGCTCATTACTGCCCATGTACTGTATTTTGTGGATTATAAGATGCTCCAATCGATTAGACGACCCCCAAATTTAGAATATAATATTATAACCAAGAAAGGGTTCAACTGCATAACAGTCCTTCCTTCATTTCATAAACCCTCTTTAATTACTATCAGTATTGATCGATTAGTATATCCTGTTCTCAATTTTGCTAAAGCTGGCAGCACTTCACCATTTTCGTTGCTCGTACAGGCAATTTTCGTGGTCGCCACAAAAATGGCCAAGTGTGCGGGGGCCGGTAACGACCACTCACCACGGAAATTTAGTGGTGACCACGAGTTGCCGAGAATCAAACCGGTTTGATTTCTCACCACGAAAATTGCTCGTGGTGGCAACTTGTGGTGAAGTGTGCGCGAAGCCACCACGGCAATCGGCAACAAAATCACTCGTATACCAATCAAAATTAGCGCTGCCGTCACATGATTTCAAAATGGCGGGCCCAATTTTATCGACTTGGACCACCGAGTTAGAAGCAGAATTAATAGATTTATGGAGTGAGATGCCTTGCCTTTTTGACATCAAAGCTCCCGAATATAGCCACAGAGTACTCAAGGCGATGGCCATAAGTGAAGTGTCCCAACTTCTTGGACAACCATCTACCGTCACCAATTCGAACCAAATGTCTGTTCCGATAACTAGTGATCCATGTCCTCTGGTGCCGCCGTAGAATGACATAAATCTATACAAATATAGGGCCCCTAGGCCTAAGTAACAGAAATGTTGATAAAATTTATATATTTCCTTTATTTGATAACTGTATATGAATGGGTTAAAGCTACAACATCTGGCAACAAAAATTGCCGCCAACAGCACACGTCACCACTCAGTGGTGACGTGTGCTGTGACGCGGCAAAGGCCACAAAAATTGCCGACCACGAAAATGGTGAAGTGTGCTGCGTATATACCGTACCTTACCTAAGGATTGCTAGTTATAATGTCTTCTACACTTACCTCCAGCTTATAAGATGCAGGGTGGTTTCTGGAGACGATTTCTAAAAAAATGCACGATATAATCCGCAAATTACGATCATTTGAATGTAATTTATTCCATTTGTTTGCCGAGGTACACATTCAGTCGTAGATTGGACATTGTAAGGTGCTGCTTGAAATTAATAGCACTGCTATCTTGGTTGTATGCAGTTGGAATTATCTTCACAAAATCTTGAACAAACCAAAGGCATGTTGAAGTCCACGGAGGAACATTCACGTCCGCAAATGTCTCGAGTAGAAAGCCTCGAGGCCAAGCTAGACAAGCTAGACACCGAATATCGAGATCTGAAGAGAGAGTTTGCTGAAAAGAGCAATGCTGTGCAGAATTTGACTGTAAGGAATGGTGCGGTTACAGAAGAGGGAAAGATGCTGCTATACCTAAACAAATGCACCCATCTCCCCCTTGAAAATTCCACCTAATGTATTAAGCCCTTTGTTATGATGAAGATGCTAGCAAATCCTAGGTTTTACACTTATTTTTTTACTAGAAATTGTTGGAAGTATATTGTAGTCATCCACGAAAAAGGGCCATAGAGCTATTTCACATATAATTTTCCTTGCAAAACAGAGAAAGTTCATTAAGGTTCTTGTAAAAATATGAAACCACGTATAATGTAACATGTACGATTCAAGAAAACATTTAACAAAGCAATCATACTCCAACTACTCTATGGATGTTATGTAGATATTTAGATATCTAATTATTCCACGCAGGTAACATTGGAGGCAAGGAGTCGTGACAACTTCTGTCTGACACAGCAGCTAGAAGCAGCTATGTCTGATGCACGAACTGCTGGTGAAAAAGCTCGAGCAGAAAATGCCACCAGGGTAGGAACGGGTTTATAATCGTTAAAGTAGGATCTTTGAACAGCGTCGATGAAATCAGGAGTGAATTTGTTTTTATTCACTCCTGTTGAATTGTTATATCAAGCATTTGATTCATTATTATAACATCTACAGTCATTTGAACAGCAATGTAATGTCTAATCAATGCAAATGAGTGTAACAGTCATATCTTCACAACTCTACTTTTCTGCTTCTTTTAGTGTAACTCTCGTGTAACTGCAGTTGCCAACTTGCAGTGTTATTTCGTATGACCGATTTCATGAGCTATGAATACGAGTCTTATTACTACATTGTGTCGACCTGTCACACTTCATACTGACTTTGTCAGAAATAATAAGTATGTTAGAAGCTCTCCCTATATAATTGTCAGTAATGCTGTTAGTACCTAGAGCAAGTGTGACTAGTGCAGTTTTCACTTCACTTCAGGAGAAAAACTTGCAGAAGAGGATCCTGAATCTTGAGAAAGAACTTAGCTCAGTGAGAGCTGAAAAACTGTCCCTGCGTAGCAACACGGAAAAGGTAAAGCAGAGTTAGACTAGAATATAAGTACTTACTAGAACTTGACATTCCGTTCTTATTTGTTGCTGCTATGATATTTGATCTAAATCTTTTTGATAGATGATCAGCTTACACAAATATTACTGTGATCAGCTGCTTTGTCACGTTGGCATTTCGTAGGAATCTCTGTCCTCAAACGTATCGAATGTGTTTCTATGAGAATTTTACTGTTTGAAATGGCTGTTCCAAGCAGTAAAAGTTCTGCCTCACTTACAGGTCGAGCGAAGAATGAAGACGCAGGTAACAGAGTTAAGCGGGAAGCTGGACACGGCAACCAGCAAGAATCGCACCCTCGAGAATTACGTGAGTTTTCTGAAGGTGTCATATGCTAGCATGTTCAAGGACCCAGCTGTAGCAACGAGCACCCCAGTAAAGGGGCTGATTCTCACCAGATCACCACTACGGAGGACTGCTCACCTGCTGTGATTCGGATGTTGCGTTTTTACTCTAGACTCGATGATTCATGTTCAGATACAACACATCAGTTGTAAGCAGCTGTTATTGTCTGCAGTTTCATTAATCAGCTTTAATTGATATGCTTGCAAAGCAAACAATATCCTGATTACGTTCAATTTGCATTAATATTTTTCAAGCAAATATCTTGTGTATACAGTATATATATATAGATATGTGGTCTGAACATTAAATGGAAAATACGCATACAAATCTTCATACGTTAATAAATTAATGATGACTGTACGATATCTATTGACATCAGCATTTATTGATCACCATATTTCAACAAAAAGGGAGCCACGGTGACAATATATATCTTTAGAGTGAAAAGTTTAGAAGTTCCACATTTTAACGTACTCGCAAAGGGTAAAAATATTATATACTTTTCTCAGCATAGTAAAGGATCCAGTTACACATATTTTTGCCAGTACTAAAATATTTTTTATAGTGCTATATCGAAACGATAATGCTAAGTGCATTTTACTTGGTATGTTGAGCTGTATGGGTAGCTACATATATATGGTGATCTAATAGGCATAAGGGCATAAGTTGACTTAAAAAAATCAAAATTCATTTCTATATACAAATGATATGAAAGTTGCCAAATTCAAAGTTACTTTTAAAATTCAATAGATATTTTGAAAGGTTGAAGTACAGGTAATATTTGATTGATTGTATTTTATACATTCACTTTATCTATTTGTTATTGCCGGCCCCATAGTTGTTACCTCCGCCCAACGGAGTTGGAGGAGGTTATGTTTTCACTCTCGTGTGCGTGTGTTCGTGTGTTAGTGTGTTTGTGTGTTCGCGCGATCGATATTAGCGCGTCAGCCAGCGAGCCAGCCAGCGTGTACATGTGAGCGAGCAGCTGCTACGAGTGAGCGAGCAGCTGCTACGAGTGAGCGAGCAGCAAGCCAGCAAGCCAGCGTGTACATGTCAGTACGCTGGCATATATCGTGGCTTATTCATGTGTTCGTGAGTCGTATGGCATATGTCGCTGGCAGAGGTATGCACTCTCCGTGAGTGCACTCTGTCTAGTTAGCTGTGCAGTCATTGTTGTCACAATCATAGTTTTATGTTGCTTGCCAACTAGCTGTTTTATAGCCAACTAGCTAGGGAATATAGGCAGAAACAGCTTTGTGTGATTGTGCTACAAGATTATGCAGTGTTAATATCACCTTTTAATGATTACACTTACAGGTATTACTATCTTGTATGTAAAATAAATGAAGAGAAAGGCAATACAGATGAAGGCCTTTCATGTGAATTCTCTATATATTCCATCCGATTTTCGCATATTCTGGTAAACGTATACTGCGTCTTTATGCTGGTATAATATTGGGGAAATGTTCCGTTAATAACCATTTTTTAGAACAGTATTCTCTGTGGAAGTATTAGGCATTGTTTATACAGTACTACGTATATCTGTGTCAAGTGTACTTGCAATCTTGCAATCTCGTGTTTTACTTGTACGTCTATTTATAATGTTGAGTTTGTAATCTTGTGATTGGTATGTAATGTATGTAATGTATGTATTAGTATGTGATTAGTCCACGAGCATGCGCAGTAGCTTGCGCGTTCATGATTTGGATTATAATAAATCTGCGTTAACTAAAATTGAGATCGTTCTTTTTTATATGATGTTAAGTATTTGAAAGCTGCGTCAAAATATTCCTTTTCAAATCGTCGTAGTTTTTAGTAAAAGGTAATGTGCTAGGACACTACTTTGCCATGAACCACTGTTTGCCGGCCAGGATTTGAACACGGGACGACGCTACCCACTGGGCTAACGGGCGTCCCCAATATAGAAAAACGACATGTTCTATATATATCAGGAGAAATGGCAATTTATACAATATTTCAGCAAAGAAGTTGCCGAGATTCGAACCTTCAACCTTCATGGCTTGCAGCAGAGATACTTAACCACTATGCCATCCACGCATTCGTAATATGCTTTGCATACATGTATGCAGGAGTTGTCATATTTGTCATTTGTGTCTACTGTCATTTGTCTTTATTAACTCCTGATGTCTGCAACACGTTAATTTTAAACAAGTTAGAAAGCCACTCCGTTTCTTCCTCACTTCCTTACTCCCTTCTCGCGGATGGTATCGCCCATGACCAGTCAAAGCATGGAAAAATTGCTGCAGGAAATTGGCAACATTTTGGCTCAAACTTTTTCACCGCCCCAAGGCACAAAATGTGAATTTGCGCCTATAATACACGCGCACGCGTGCGTGCGACCATACCCGCGTGTGCGCGCCCGGTCGCGTGTGTGTATGTGTGATTATGTGACTATAAAAACACGTATTATAGCCGTATATCCACTTTTTGTGCTTTTGGGGGGGTGAAAGTTTTCCCATGCTTGACTGGTCGTAGGCGATACCATTTGGGAGAGGGGGGAGAAAAATATTGAGGGGAAGGGAGTGAGAGAGGAGAAGGAAGAAAAGAGGAGAGACAAGGATGGAGGGACCTCAGGGAGGGAGTAATGCTAAACTAATATTTATAGGTTATTTTTTATATGACTATTTTTTACACTAGGTGGCGCCAAAGAGTCATATTTTACAAATTTCCCAGAGCTATTGGGCACTCGGCAGTTAGATGCGATATTGTATGACTACTAGGCACTTTAATTTAATTTAATTTTTTTTAAATAAAAAAAAGTTAGGGTTAGGGTTAGGGTTAGGGTTTAGGTTAGGTTAGGGTTAGGGTAGGGTTTTTTTTTTTTTTTAAGTGCCTAGTAGTCATATCCTAAGTGCCTAGTAGTCATATAATATCGCATCTAACTGCCGGGTGCAGCTATTGGACGGTGACGCCGGTTGCGTGATCCGCGCGCGCCGGTTGGCATTCCGTCCAGGATTGGAACGAGTCTGGAGCATAGAGATGTATAAATAAACATTATACTATTTATACATTATACTATATATACATACATTATATATATATATATATATATTATACATTATACTATTTAGACATCTCTATGGTATGGAGCGAGTTTTGAGTGTGCGTGTTCGGAGTTTCAAAGTGAGCATGCAATATCTCCCTTGTGTAAAATTCAATTTCATGTTGTTAGCGTTCATCGCGCCATCTAACGCATTACTATATTTCCCTTGTGTAAAATTCGAAGACGAATAGCGTTAGCAGACCGATTTACTATTTATAAGTGGGAAAATGTTCGCTGTTTCTGATTTTGGTTTCTCATTATGGTCATTTTCATGTTGGTTAAGCATATGTTTAATTTCAACATATTGTGAGCCCATTGATAATGGTGTGTACCCTTGTCATTCAGCAGACGTCAGTGAAAACAAGGTATGTACAGCCAAGGCCGTGCACAGAAAATTTTCAGTGGGGGGGGAAATTTTCAGTGGGGGGGCAGTAGATGAGAGAAGACTTAGACCAGAGCGAGCTACCCCTGGAAACATTGTTATGACCCCGCCCTTCAAATTTCTGGAGAGGCAACTGCCCCCCCCCCGCTATGTACAGCATACTACTTGAAGTTGTACTACTACTAGTACTAGTAGTAGTAGTAGCGCCGTACCCTTAATTGTTGTGGCAGTGCCAGGGTCACGAGGGTCTGCTCCTCATCAAGTGCGTTATTAATTATATTATATCGTCCCTTGGAATAAACGTCTTCACGTCGTAAAATCATTAAAGATGGGCTAGGGCGTAAACCCTAAAAGTCTAACAGAAAATCAACAGTGACAATCAATATCAATTATTGATGTCTTTTATTCATTTGGTATAATATTAGTATTATTACTATTAGTATTAATGCAATTTGTATTATTTTATATTTATTATAATTATGACACATGTCATATGTACTCCTATCACAGTGTCAGTACCAAGTAGCACTTGCTCATAGGGTCTATGTCCCCCAGGGTACTGCCGAAACGTACCCTGGTCACTATTTGGTATGGTTAGGGTTAGGATTAGGGCTAGGGTTGGGGTTAGGGAGTAGGCGTAGGCGACTCCCTAGACTCGTTAGTGGAGTAGGCGAGGTACGGTCCGGCATATTAGATAGTACCAGGGTACGTTCCGGTATACCGGACCGTACCCAGGGTACGTTCTGGCAGTACCCCGAGGGACATAGACCCTTTCAGCCCAAGTAGTGATACTAGTAGTAGTAGACAGCTGTTACTATATTTCTGTAACTAACTGTATATGGCGATTATGGGTACACAAGACTGCTAAAGGTCCAGTCACACATGCATGCATACGCGACGCATGGCCCGTGCATTGAAAATTAATCAAAAAATGGAAAATAAGATCAGTGCGTCGTTGTGCGCCAACCTTTTGTCAAGATTTGGGAGAAGCTAGCGAGTTGACAACGAATGCACAGCGTGTTGCTAGCGCACAGCGCGTATACAGAGCGTATACAGGGCGCACATGTTAAAAAATCCAACGAATGCACAGCGTGTTGCTAGCGCACGGAACAAATAGTCCGCACATGCACCGCGCATTCAACGCACAGCCAGCGAACGGTCAGGTCAGCGAACGAACAGGTAATGATCAGGGATATGGTGTTGTGAGGCACCCTCCACCCATAGAACATTGAGTGATACTTGGTCCCAGAGGCAAGATGCCGCAGTGAGGGCAAGCTTCAGGCCAGGGTCGAGGGCCTCTCTGTAGGTTGTATTCTGCTTGGTGATCCTCGGACCCATTCTGGTTAGCAGCTCGTCGAACATCTCGGGGGGCATCCGCATGAAGTTCTTGAAGGCTGCCTGGTCTTCGTTACGAAGTTCCACAAGTAGCTGGTCATACAGGCCAAACTGTCGTCGCCTACCGATCCTCGGTCGGACCCAGAACCTCAGTTGACCTCTTCTCTTTCTCATTCTCCTGATGACATGGACTTGGTGAAGTACCAGTTCCATGAAGTTCTGCCGATGTTGGAGAACCGCGATTTCGTATTGTAGTCGCAGCCTGTCGGGATCCTCCATCTTCTGAGGTGGTTCTTCTAGACACGATCAGCAGGAACCTCTGTCATCACCCATGAGGGTCGGAGGAGAAGTGATGATGAGGAGGTGGGGGCGGGACCCGTTTATATACCCCATGGCTACACGCTGCGTACACGCTAGGAATACGCTAGAAGAACGCTGGGCGCGCTACAGACTTGTTCAGCACGCCCATATTCGCTGCATGTTTGCTGGACATGCGTTAGAAACACGCTATGTGTGCGCTAGGTGTGCGCTAGGCGTTCGCTACACCTCAGCCGACGAACATACAACGAATACCCAGCGTGTGCTCCGCGTGTGTCTGGGGTTGGTCCAGCGCGCTCTGCGATTGTCTGGCGTCCTTCTGGCGTGTACATTCATGTGTCGAGCTCCGCGCACATTTTTGTGCATGCACAAAATTCCCGACGCACACAGCGAATGACAACGAATGCATAGCGTTGGTCCAGCGCGCTCGACGAACGAGTAACAAATGCTGACGCACACCCAGCGAAAGACAACGCACTGGCCAAAATTGCAAATTTTTCAGTGCGCGGGCCGTGCGTCGTGTATGTGTGACTGGGCCATAAGCTAGCTAATGTAATTTTACTTTTAGGTTGACCTGCTTTACTCCGGAAGCTACAACCTGATCAAAACAAGTTCCTGTCATCAAGATAATCGAGCTGTCTACCTGGATGCCACTAATCATTCATCTGTGTTTGTCACCACCAATTTTTTACGTGCTCCTGTTACACAGCTTCGAATACCAACCAGCTGCGTGAGCGGAAGTCCACATGTTACATCTGTAGGTTTTACAGGGAACAGTTTGGTTTTCACAGCTGACGGTGATGTCTTTGTGTTTGACTGGAACACCAATTTTTACAATTCGTCCGGGTTAACGTCTGCCGTGGATACGATCACGACGAGACAATGCTGCAACGGTCAAGACTGGTGCAAGATCATTGGCGGAATAGTCGTCGCTTACAACAGTGATGGTGCTCCGCACGTGTTCATATCTGTCGATGGGGGATTGTCGTTTGAGCGGAGCGACGTCGATGTTAATGCTGTTCGTGGCGCGCAAGTGTTCAGCTCAATTAATGCAATCGCTGTTCTGACACAGGACGTCGACGAGGATATGGCATTTCTCCAGGTTGCTTACAAAGGCAGAGCTGTCGTCGCTAGAGGCCTCAGCTTCTCACGCGCGAGTGATAGGAGGCCTATCGTGACTGCCTTGGAATCCAACTTTGGCAGCATTTTGTCCAGTGATGGCACAAGTCTACTGTATTCACCAAATGGAGGAAAGACGGTCTCTCATGTCGCGATTCAGGGACTGGTTGAGAACAGCACTGCTAGTTTCAAACAGATATTGAGTAACCGGTTTGGCGAATTCGTTGCAGTCACAGAAGCAGGTGATATGATTTATGGAAGGGAAGGCCTGACAACTTTAGCAGCAAAACTGACGCATAACCTCTCTCCTACAGCAGTCATCGCCTTCCCTGACAAGGAAGGATATCTGTACATTCTCGAACCGCAGACAATCGGTGATGGAACCGTGTCCTTCCGCACGATGCAATTATCACTCGTGCATAGCATCGGCGACGTTAACGATGCGTCATGCACCAGCCAGGCGATGCTGACCGACGCGAAAGACGAGTACAACCTGGACAGAGAAGAGAGCATTCTGATCGCGACCAGCGTCGTTTCCAGCGCGTGGGAGAGCGTCAACCTCGCGATGTCTATCTCGCACCCGGCGTTGCTCGCCGTCACCTCCACGCCAGTGACGACAAGCGACGAAGCGCCGGAGATCACCGTCGGACTTCTCACCGCGAACCTCGTCGAGAAGGTGGAGTCCGCCGCCGCCACCGGCGACACGTACGGTGTCAGCCACGTCCGCTTCAACACGGTGCCGAACAGCTTGCGGTGCAGCCACAGCACGCAGCGCGTGTCGCACGTCACCGTCGGCTGTCCCCCGCTGAAGCACGTCCGTGTACGAAACGCGGCGCGCAAGTGTGGCTCGTTGGAGACGGGGTACCGGTACGAGATCGCGCCGCATCGCTACGACCCGAGCTTCCGCCAGGGCGCCGTCACGCCGAACGAGTCGCTGCTTGTTGATTACGCGTTCGATACGCTAGGCTGCCCCGTGATGTCGCACTACAAGGACGTCTTCCAGCCGGAGATCGACGTCTACGTTGGTGACAAGTTCGTCGGTCCGATGCTTGACGAGTTTGTCATGTACGAGGTGCACGGAATGTACGACTACAGGTAGTGATGTCCTGATGATCGATTATAATCAAAAGTCGGTCTTTTGCAGCAACCAACTAGGCGCTCGATTACGAAAATAAATAATCGTAGATAAATTATGTATAATACTGCTACATAGCTTTTAGAATCTTGTATTATAAAAATACTGTACATATTATTCTATATGATATTTTTCAATATCTGGTAGCCGCAATCAATAACATTCAACTGATTATCTTCGATCATCGATCGGTCGGATGCAACCGATGATTGATGATGAAATTTCCACCGATTCCCATCACTAGGTACAACACGACCGTGACACAAGCGGGATGTCTGCGCGCCTCTCAGACCTGGCTCGACGTGCTGCAGACGGAGGTAGACCCGGGTGTCGCGTGGACGAGGCGCACACACAGGAGCTGCTTCTACGCCGAGACCGGCTCCCTGCCACAGCCCGACACCAAATACGAGGTACTAGGTGGCGCCACTGCACACGCGAGCCGCAATGGCATCTTCTGGCCGAAAGAGAACGGGATCTACGTGTTCGAGGCAATCGGAATCGACGAGAGGTACACCTTCTGTAATTACAGAGTGCGGTTTGCTGTGCAGGTGTACGGTATGTCGCACCAGGCGGTCGTCCCGGATTTCACGGTGTCCCTGTCTTTCATGCTTGTGAGTACGGTGTGCATAATCGTGTCGTATTTCATTATTCTGCACAACAGACAGACGGCAGCGAAAAAGCAAGAGGAAATCAAAGCGATGTACCAAAATCATGAATTGGACGATCTCAGTTTAGATTATACGACGGTCGCTGGCTCATTTTAACTGCTAAAAATGTTTTCAGGATGTTAGATTAATTATTAAATTAATTTATTTTAAATTGATTGTACATAACATGCATAAACGTGTTTCTTAATATTTCCACTTTGTTGTACGTCTAATAGACTTATTCTTGACAATAATATTCTTACCTAAATTTGGTTTAAACTCAAGCAATTTAATAAAAAAAAGTTGTAAGCTTAATTATTTTTATTCAACAAATTAATAATACAAGTGATTATACATAATACCAAGAGTCTATGGAATACAGGTTTATGATAACACATATACTATAGATGAGTGTGCCACAGCATTTTTTACTCCAATTAGGCAACAAGCAATGCACTAATTTCAGGTCAGTGCAAATGGATTATCAGTAATGTCAACAGCATGCATTTTTGGCCAGTTATAGATACAGTTACTTTTATAATAATGAACAATTTAGAGGAAAATTGTAGATTTCTTAAGTGCATTTATCGACTGCAGAATATATACACTATAACAGGGCTGCCAACTCTCACGCATTGACCGTGAGACTCACGCATTTTGATCAAATCTCACGCTCTCACGCTGATCTTACAATATCTCACGCACAGCAAAAAAAATGCTGAGATATCTCACGCATGAATATCTCTTCATGAATAAAATGCTGAAATATCTCACGCACAGCAAAAAAAATCTTACAATATCTGAAAACTGTCACTTTAGTATGCACCAAATTGCACAAATTGAAGTTATAAAATGCAAAAGCTCCCTACCGTGAGAGGGGGAAACCCCCTTCCCCCCCCCTCGATCGCTTCGCTCCCCTGCATCTCACTCTCACCTATCACCTAATGTTGGCAGCCCTGCTATAAGGAAACAACGTGATATACAGTAGGAATGTGATCTTATTTAAAAACAATGAAACATATACACCAATGTCTACTACAGACAGGAAATAAAATGTTTACACTCAAACAATTGTAGTACTAGGTTGATGAAAAAACATTTTAAATTGTAACGATAACCTTCCATGCAAGCGATTTCTACCCACACGTTATTTCTAAGAATACGACTAGTTTCACAAAATTTCAATTGCACATTGCACAATTGTACTAATCCACCGACTAGTTATTTCACATAAACCATATCTTTACTATTGAAGTTAAAATCTTCATGATAGAGAGCAAGCCATAGATTCCAGTAGATTCCATAGGGTTATTAGACCGCAATTTGCTGGTTACATGCACACGTATACAATTCCTTTCACTCAGAGGTGCAAGAATGCTCAAAGAACTACTAGATTGAGAAGCCACCATCAACACCTAAGACGTCCACCAGTGCAAATGTTAAAGAATCTATAAACCTGATTACACAATACGTATATAATAATATTAAACATTCCTATAGCGTGGGAAAATATGGCAAAACTTTGCTGGGAACAAATAGCAGGTCGTGCCAGCGTAGAGGTTTGATTGCCAATGATATCACGCACCTAGTTGCCATTTATTTCCTGCATCATTTCTCATCTAAACCTCGCCACTTCACACTGTAAACTCATGCAACCCTCAACATAGCATATACATCCCACGCTGACTCACCGATTTATTAAAAGACTAATTTAACTAGTTCCTCTACCTTCCATTTTTTATCTAAATGCGCATAACGGTATAAACTTGAGTCTATGATGCCACCTGATCACAAATGCTCCACTAAACCGTATCGATCTCAGCCATATTTCGGAAGCAGATTTGAGTGATTCAAAATGTGAACCCTGCCTCGAAATTCAAGTGAAAATGGCTTTGTGCCACGACCAATATAGATAAAGGCTGAGTGTATTCATAAACTACAGAACAATATCTACAACGATAACAAATATTAAGTGTCAGTCTACGGCATAAATGCATCCGTTGTGATACATTGTCATCAACAATAGAGAACTCGTACGTTCGTATTAGCAGGGGTTGCTCAGCAATCCACTACCCCCCCCGATCGAACTCACGCCCCGCCTCACCGTAAAAAAACCACGCGTTTTCTGAGAGAATCTTGCGCCACCATCAAGATATCAGATAATCAGGGGTTAATAAAGACAAATACTGTCATTATTAACCCCTGATGTAATCAGGAGTGACCTAATATAGACTATATTATGACACTCCGGTATAATTACTCACATGTGCGTCGCACGTGCGTAGTTGCGTTTACTCAGCACCTGGGGGTTTGTTAGTGTAAAAAAACATGCATGCCCTATACCTGGAATATACCAATAAATCGTGTCCTAGCCATTTTTATCTGACGCTATTCTAGGCAATGCTATTGGCCAGGCTATATCTGAGGTTATTGTAGATATATCCTAGAATAGTTTCCGAATATAAAAACTTTTAGGGGATAATTTATTGTTTTATACTTGACAGAAAGCGGCTCATACACGTGGGTGATACCACGAACACATACTATGAGTATGTTTATAGAGATGACCACTCCATCTAGGCTACCCATGCAGGGGGTAATCTAGCTGCTTAATATGGTCACCCGTCGCGAGCATAGCGACGGAAAAGAACAAGAGCCGCAGAGCGTCTGGGCTCATCTGAGGTCTGTTGCTACGGTTATAAACGTAACATTTAAGTCGTGCGTAGTGACACCTTTGTTAGGCGCAGATACGCAGTTGCGTACACATCATTTCAGCAACCTTCTGCATTATGCATACCTCCCAAATCCCATTGGTTGATACAAATCGCGTGCCTGAAACTCCTATTTTATGGGGCATTGTGACCCTAACCCTAACGCTATTTAAAAAAAAAATTTATTGTAAAAATTATTTGTTATGAAATTTTTGTAAATAAATTATGTAAATATTTGTGTTAATTGGAAAGAAATAGTTAAATGGATAAAGATAGAAAAATACAGAAAACAGGTAAATAATAAAAAATCTGATGGGATTCGATCCAAGGACCTTTGAGCCGTAATCCTGTGCTGTAGCTGTTGGGATATCGAGGCTTATTGGCTTGTCAGATTATGAATGTCCCATGAATATGAGAACACTGTGACATCATTGAGGCAGTTCAGGAATCCATGTTTAACCCTCCTCTTGAGGGTCAAAAGGTTATCAGACACTTACTCTTCGCACGTCAGTGGAAAACACATTTCATGGTCCTTTCAATAAAGTGATAAAAATTGTAGGTCAGCGCTGAAACAAAAAAGTTTTTCACTCTGTCCATTAGCCCATGTCCTCAGAAAATGTCTGATATCTGACATTTCCCCCACTGCCCTTTGACCTGTGACCTCCCATTTCGCACTGGTGATGGGTTTCCTGCCCATCACACTGTACACCGAATATTAAGAGCATAGGTCGAGCCGTTCAGATTTGTGCCGCAATTCCGTATTTCCTCATACCTTAAGTTAAGGGGGAAATATTCCCCCAGTTTACACATCTTGACCTTTGACCCTTGACCCCCAAATTTGTCATCCTGAGTCATTTTTACAATCCCCCCCCCCCGACGTCCCTCATATCGTGACCGTACATCAGGCGGTTAATATTTGTGCCCAACTGTTGACGGACGGACGGACGGGCAATTATGCGATTCTACAAGCTGCATCTGACTACGTCAGATGAGCTAAAAATTGGGGACGATTGGCGAGCGCAGGGAGCCAAAAATATTTTTTAAGTATAGGTAGATGTATAATAGCATTAAAATTTCATTCAGATAATAGATTATAGATCTTATATGAGCATTTTATTATAAAACAGTGCCTACATAACGATAGAAACATGGCGATTTAATTCAGAACTCTGCTAATTTGGGTGTTTTGCTAGAGGTCGTAATTTGGGCAGCCGGTATTCGGTATGAAAAATGGCTTGGATTAGGCCCTGCCACGAGATTACACTCCCGTCAGTTTGTCACCTGGCACTCGCATTCACTTGTCACTATAGGCTGCTTGTTCAAATGAAACGAATTAAAATAAAATAACATAAATAACTAATATAATATTATAAGTAAATATACTTGAGCGATTGAGCGTGAATAGTTGCAAGTTGTCAATGCAAGTGGACCTTGGAAAACAGCTGATATGAGATGGATGAATCAACAGCTCTCAATGCTTTCTCAGACTTCTCAGTATATCTATATTGTATAGCCCGTACGCTATTGTATCAAGAGTGCATGAATAGATATCTCTATTGACGTACTACTGAGTGTATTACAGGGCACGAAATTAGCACCGGCATATGCTGGCAAATTATTTGGAGGGCCAGTAACATTTAAAAATTGCTGTTACCAGCCCAATGGGCCGGTGCAAAAAAATCTTAATTTCGTGCCCTGGTATCAGGTATACAGCAGACACAGACCGAGCAGCCTGCAATAAATGGCACTGATCATCGTATGACACTAAGCAGGCAGGGTAACGAAACTTCTACCTGCATAAATGCGTTAATATATTATATAAGAAGTAACAAATCACCTACCATACAGTGAGAGACCTGTACCTTGAATAAAAATATCACTACTGTACATATATTCATATGTATAAGGTATATAGTATATGTGTGTAGTAGTAATATATTTTTCATTGAATGTAAGGTTCATTTTCATATGCTAGTTTACAAATTACACGAGGATTGATATAATAAATATTATAGTATTTGTGCGTGAACAAGAGAGAATATATATATCATACCAAAAAATGATGGTAACATGCAATTTTAAGAAGCATATGATGACCAACAAATTTAATTTTGCAACCCTCCATGACTTTTCTTTCACATTTTTTAAGACATTTCTTCTCTTCAGCTGCTCACAGAGTGTAATTAAATAATCAGCATGCAGATAGACTATCCAACACACATACCATACAGAAGTATAATATTAATGATCATACTAACAATGGGTAAAGATTTACCTATATATTTAAATTCATGTGTATATTTTTGAAACACGTTGAGCTCAGCAATAGACTAGACACGCCAAATATCACGTACAATTCTGACTTAGTTCACTTGCTCCTAGCTACCACCTATGGAATTTAGCAAAGGAATAAATTAAACAAATCATTATGCACCAATAAAATGTTTGCACTCCGAGTAAATTACAAGACTTCATTGACCTATCAAACATCGTGATTGACAGGCATGTTTTGCTAAAAATAACCACGAAAAGGGGTAGGCTAACCTCTGCCTCTTAAAACAAGCCCCAAACCAATTTTACATCATATACACAATTATAATTTACAAATTACACATGGGCAAATTTACGTAACCCGAGTTACCATAAGACAGGGTATTACTTTATAGACTCGCCCACTACTTCAGCTCCATGACTGTTGTCAGTGGTGATTACTCAGTAGTAAAACTTCTATACTAATACTATTGCAATAGTATACTTTGGTATCAAAGAAGACATGAACTTCACATAGTAATACTTACTATACTAAGTGTCTGTTCATAACACCGATTAAAATAATAGCTAACTAACATTATATTAAATGGATTCAAATAACAGGGCATAATTTTGATTCCGAAACAACTGCTGTTGACAATGGTGCGATGCAACTCTGGCATTATGTCTGTGGTCAAGGTAAAACCAACTAATAAGTAAGGGCATAAACTAACCACGACCACGTACACCAGATGGCACCACAGTGCACATTATCAATGAAGAAACTGCATTCTTTCAACCTTGTGTCTAACTCATTACTCAGTGTGCATGTGATTACTTGGCAGCTCACCACCAGTATTCCTGCCATCAATTGTCAGGCACTCTCCATTTTGGCTGATATCTGACGACTCTCTGGGTTCAGATGTAGGTGCCACGGGGAACAACAGTGAGTTACATATGAGCGCAACCAGACTCAAAGCCTTGCCTGAAAAACACGGTTCGAGGCGATAAGACCAAGGACTTGTGTATCTAGTTGAAGCTAACTAAAGTCATTTAAAAGCTATATTATATTTTATATTATGATGACCATGTTGGTGAAAGCAAGAAGTTAAGCTTGCAAGCTTCCAAGCTCGTCAGCATACCAATACAAAAACTTCAAATTGAAAACATGGAACATGCTAGACTTGCTAGTGCATGAGATGCTTACCGTGTAGCGGTACCAGGGTTCCCTGGTGTAGGATTGCCCAGAAACGATATTGTGGCCCATAGAATGGATCTGTGATCGCTGGACACAGTGTGTTGCTCAGATTAACATATGTCAACTGTGAAAAAAATGACAGGAATTACTGCCAAGAAATTTTCCTGAAATTTTGTGTGTGATTCGGACTACGCTATGTATAAATGCACTAGTTATCGCATAGACTGTTGAACCAAATCTGAAGTAGGGGACAACTGAGAATAACATAGGTCGATGATTCTGATTACACGTTATATAGATACATACAATCACTCCAACGTATTATCAAGACGTGTCAAAATTCGCTTCGGAAAACAACAGCATATAGTTGCCTGTAGTAATGTGATAAGCTGAGTAACAGTTCTAGCCTTGAAGTATCATCCATCCACAAAAACCTACTTACCAATCCAAATCCTTGCAGTACCAAAAAGTGGTATATATACAGGGCACCGATAGTTAGGATGGCCCAATTGAAATCAAAGAATGGCTCCAGTGTGTAGACACCTGTAATAAAACGAATCAAATTATACATTAACTTGTCTTTGCACAAAATAATCAAAGCTGTACAAAAACGTGTACAGCGTAGTCAATTCAAGAAAGTGAAAAATGCCTACCAAGATATTAAGAACACATAATGCGAACATAGTGAACACTGATTTTGTCAATGCTACAACTAATATAAAAATACGTTAAGGATACTCTCCACGTTGTGCATGAAATTTCATAGATTTTTCGTTTTCAACTTTATTCGATGGCTAACACTATTTGCCACATGTGAACATGCTCATTTCTCCATATAACGGTACATGTGAACTGTCAGAGCGGTTTTGCTTGCCCGCGTACATGTGTAGTAAGCAATGGCTGACGTCATTATGACGTCAGAGACATGATACAACCACGATATTAACTAAGCCGGTATCCCCGCGTCAACCCTGCTACAGCTGTCATTACATGTATTCATGTACATTCATGTACATCTGCTAGTGATCCAACAAGAATCCCACGCCCAAAATAGTTCTAACACCTCGCAACACACTAGCTTACTATAGTGTGGTACATCGCGCGCGTTGGTTGACATATTAGCTTTGTGACGTCAGGATGAGCGGAGTTCGAGCATTCTGCGATGGTAACCTCGTAATTTCTTACAATTTCTCAAGGTGCATGGAACATTTTACCAATTTAGTGGTGTCAGTTAGTCATGGATATGTCGCAGTAAGTACTAACAATAGATATATCACATACGTTCACCCATTTTACACACAGGCGGTCACTCATTGTGAAAAATAGAAAAACGCTGATTTCTCCGTTTCGATTTCTGACATAGTAGCCGATGTATAAATGGATATTTCTCTGTGATTACAACTCGGATTAATTTAATTTTACACTCGTTTTAAAGGACCAGGGTCGTCATTTGCGGTTAACTAAATTGTGTAAGTTATGA